TTAGCCAAGCAGACATGGATTCCTTCAAATGTAGTGCTGACAATTACTAGCTGTGTGATATGAGCCAAGCCATTCTAGTGTCCACATCCCTATAATTTCAGATGCAATGGGGCATGTTCAGGCAGGTATGGCCTGTAATTTTATATGCAAAATAGTAGACAATATCTATACTAAAAGATACTGTGAAAGACAAATGAGGAAAAAATATATAAGCAATTTAAGTCTTTGCAATCCAATATGGTAGCCACTGGCCACACATTCCTATGTGAAAAAGTGACTAGTGAAACCATGAGATTGATCTTTCATCTTATTTCATTTTAACTAGTATAAATTTAAATTTAAGAATGAATACTCAATTTGTTTCCTGACAAAATTTTAAGTACAGCTGGAATACCTTGGGTTTGTGAATCTCCTTTTGGTACTGCAAATTTTACAAAATATAACTACCAACCAAGCAGTGAAAATTTAGCATATGATTGAGATGCATGGAAAATGTAAAATATACTCAGGATTTTGTAGATTTTAGTGTGAAAAAGAAAAAGAATTTCTCATTAATAATTTTTCACATTGAGCATGTATTACAATATTTTAGATACTTCATTTGAGTAATATATATTATCACATTTCATTATTTTTATTTTTTACATTTTTGATTACAGGTAGTAAAAATTTTAAAGCTTTTATGAGTATGTTACATACTCACTGTATTTCACAGTGCAGGGTAGAAGACACTGTTGCTAAGCCGCTGTTATTATGAGGAGTTATAAAGCGAATACTTAATATCTAGGAAAGCATACAGGCAAATTCATCAGACCAGCAGCTCAGAGCATGTTTTCATAGCATAACTACTGTTGAGAAGAATATCTGTCCCTCAATTCATTAGTGGAGAGTAACTAAAGAGCAACGCAGTTTATTGGATGTGGGGAAAAAGAGTTCTGTGTGAAGAAAGCGTGGTAGGAATATGGGTAAGCACACACAATGGACTGCTTTTACTGTCAACAGCAGCCCTGTTCTGAAGGAGTGGGCTTCTGTTAGGATTTGTGTCTAGATGTCCCCCGCAAGCCTCATGCACTCATGGGTGGGGCTTTTCAGAGGCGGCTGAGTCTAGCATGTGTGATGCTGGGACCAAGGGTGTATAATTATTAAATTATCCACTAACTGATCTGGCACAGTTCTGGGAGTGGATAATGAGAAAGCCCATTCTGGGTGAGAGTGCTACCTGCCCTAATTGCCTGTAGACTGGACAGAATACAAAGGACAAAAAGAGCTGTTGGAATCACTTGTCACTTGCTACCTGCTGCGTTGTTGCCTTCTGCCCTCCACAAACTGTTTCTCCTCTGTGAAGGCCTCCGCCACACCACCCTGCCTTGGAGTCAGCCAGACATGGACAGAAACCTCTACGAACTGAGCTAAATATACCTTTCCTCCTTTAACCTTTGTAGTCAGGTATTTTGTTTCAGCAATGAGAAAAGTAACTAAGCTTCTGGCACCTTAAAGGAGAGATCAATTATTATTTGGTCTTCAAGAGTTTTTTCCCTTAATTATGTTATTACAACCATGACAGCATTATACTTTGAAGTAGGGATTAGAGAATGAACAAGGAAGAGAATCTCTCTTACAGCCAGAAACTACTCCATGAGAGTAGACAAACTGTCTCAACCTCGTCAGATTTGGGGGAGTTCACTGGACGTGATTTCCTTCATTCTCCAAGGACTCTCTGTAGTGAGATGAATTCCCCAATGAGTTCTTTCTTTCCTTGTCTCCTCCCCACTGTTTAGAATAGACTGGAGACATCTGTGTGGAAGATGGAGTGACATACAGGTAGCTTCAGGAGGTCAAGGCCAACCCAAACCACCTGGCACCTGACTGTTGCAGACATCCCTGACCCTTCAAACAGAGGAAATGCTATTACTTCCTGTTATATTATGGTGTGACAAACTGACCTGGCGCAGGGGACTGTGTCACCTATGCAAATACTATTTGCCAAATATGTAAATGTGAGAGAATAAAGAGACATGATAACCCACAGAGTAAGCGCTCAACTCTGTATCAAGCCCCTCATCAGCATCTTCACTGTCTTCAACCCAGAAATTCATAAAGCCACCCAGCATCCCATGAACGTAGGCTCTACTCATCTGACTCTGCTTCCTTTCTTCCCCTCTCCAGCAGTTCGTCATCTAAGCCAACTCATCTGTAAGCTTCTCTAAATTCCTCAAGCAGGAGCCTATCTCCTCTCTTCCAAACTCACAGCAGAGGAGAACTGCACCTCCGAGAGAAGTTAGGTCACAGTCTATATGGTAGATAGAAGGTCTCATCCACCAGTCCTCTGTTGCCACACAAACTTTGCTCTGTGAAATGAACTGAACTAAATGTGAAAAATTACTCTTTTTCCCAGCTGTGTTGCTCAAGGACACTTGGAACCCAGAAAAATTGTGGTCTCTTTGGCTAACTGGCAAATTTCAGCTTGAACAAAATCTCTAATAAAGGAGGTTAAATTCTAATGACCCTTAGAGACCAATTAAATTGAGCTTTATCTCCAAACCACAGAATGTATCTCCAGGTGCAAAACAGAACTACTCGTCACAAATATTCAATATGGTCATGGTCTAGATAGTGTCAGGGTTGGTTCAACTTTGCTCACTTGTCATCAAATGCCTTTTAGAATCTGAAATCCAACTACATATTCAATCTTCTTTCTTGTCCCTGGAAACCATCTATTCTATTGGCTAGTTCACTGCGTCAAAAATTGACATCATCTGTCCAGGTCTTGGCTTGTGCCATTCTTAACATTTCAGATGCCTCTCACTTCTTCACTTCTTGCTGTTTTAAAAAGAACTGACAAGATCAGAAATGTTGAGAAAAATAATAAGGGATATACAGCTCATTACAGTCTCTCTTGTTTTGAGGTCCTCCTGAATAGCTCATATATGCTATGTTGTTATAGGAAAATAGCTTCAATGGGAGAACATCTGCTTTACCATTTCTGCCTGTGTTAAAAGGATGATTAGCAATCCCAATTCCTCCTGTATAATTTTTAAAGTGATAAAGTTGAGTTTGATCTCCATTTGTCTCATTTCTTCAATCTGTCTCAATTAGTCTCAGCTTTGGACAGGTAGAAAAGTAGCTTTGTTTATTGACCTTTTCAAAGCCAACAACCTGGACTGCAAGATCCCTGAGGATAAGAACTAAGTAATTCTATGACTTCCTTATGGCCTGAACACAAAATCCAGGCACAATGAACTCTGGTAAAACTCAATGGAGAACAGGCTCACAAGGCTGGCTTTAAAGAAGTTACCCTGCCTGGTACATCCTGTTTCTCTATAACTGGAATAACAGCTTGCATTTTCCCCCAACAAGTCTGAAAATTTAAGACCAACTTCACCAAGGAGAAAAAATTATGTATCTGCGAGCATTCCTCATATTGATTCATTCTCCACTTCATCTCGCAGTGTCTTGAGGTTCTAAATGACCAGGGAATTTCAGGCACTCTTTCTAAGAGAAGAAAGAGCAGCGGGGCAGATCTGCCCACTGTATCAATCAAGCGTCTTAGAGAGGCAGGGATTTCTTGACTTCTTGACTGTGAGGTTGTGTGGAGCAGTAGTTATGATGTCCTGTTTGGGTCTGAGCACAGAGCCACAAGGATACACCTTACCTCTGTACCTCTACTGGGCAAAGAGAGAACTGAAATGACCTCAGTATTGGAGCACTGATCCACACCCTCCCCGTGGTTAACTTATTGCCAGTAGCAGTGGTGTATTCCTACATCCCGGCACAAAGCTCTTTATTCTCCTAGACATCGCCACCGGTCTTCACAAGTAGGCACAAATCTGTGAGTTTTCCTGAACCAGAGTCTTGTTGTTAAAGGGACTCAATTTTATCACTTCGCAGCTGTGTTCTAGGAAAGCTGGGCATTTCTACTGATTTTGTTTTTCTACCCAGGGACTTTCATTCCTTTTGTTTGGAATTGTATTCCTTCACATCATGCCATTGTGCTGCCATTCCTCTACCTAACAGAAGAGCTGCAACCTCAACTCTGTCTACCACTCTCAGTAACTGAGTAGCCCACCAGGCTAGCAGTGCAGGGATGCCGGAGCTTTGACAAGCACAACTGAGGAGATCACCATCTTCCTCACACTGACTCCTCCACCCCTCCCACTCTGCAGAGAGGAAGATCCACAAGGGAACTGCTCACCCAGGCCCTCGGAGGCCACACTCACGAGAGGCAACTTATCCTTTCCCGGATGATCTCAAGCATCCCAACAGGCATGGGCACGATCACCAGCCCCGGCGAAGTCCCCTCACTGTTCTGGGCCTGCCAAGTCTTACACACTGCCCTTAGAGGTTCTGAAACATACCACATTTTTAGGTCACTGGAAACTAGTTATTTAAAATTTAGTTTCTGTGTGAAACCACTTGGTTTCATCGGAGCAATTATTCTTTATCCGACACCAAGGAAACAGAGAAAAGCACATCAATGTAAATGACACACTGATAGCAAGGCATTTCTTCATACTGCACACCTGGCATTTGGTGGTATCTTAGAAAAATACTCCATCCTGCCAGTAATAGTTGACTTTTTCCTATAAAATATGTTCATAAACTTAATTTTTCAAATCCCTTAAACATGTACACATTACTATTCCAGTGCCTCAGGTCCATAAGAAGGAGTGTAGAGTTTTAAAAGCCACATAAGGTAGTGGACGTTCATTTCTGGCTTGAAATAACACACAGGCATACAAGAAAATCAGCTGTATAGAGGCAGCCACTACACTGGATGCTTAGCTTGATTATCTCTCACTGCACTATCACCTCCTTATATATGCATTTATCTCTGTCCTTCTGAAATTGAGGTACAGAGAAGTTATGTCCCTTTCCTTAAGTCACAACTGCTGAGTGGTACCAGAGGTATGTAAACCCAGAGCTCCAATACCCGTGTTTACACCACTAAAACTCATGAAAAAGAAACGTGAGCCCAGGGGAGGACTGTTTTGGTTACATACCTCATACAGCTCAATAATGATGTTTCCCATGAGGCCGCGGCTGCTCTTGATGTTCTCCATGGCCAGGGTGAAGTAGACCCCGCGGGTGTCTGAGATGTACAGGTTGTAGGTGTCGTTCTGGTTCCACTCTTGGACGGCTGCAAACACTTGGTTCTCGTCTGTGCTGATGATGTGCATGTCCTGCAGAAAGACAGAAGGCCTGTGAGGCGGCAGATCTCCGGGTCTCCAAGCCCAGTGAGATCCCGAATACTTAACTGTGACCTATGAAATGATCGAGAAAAGGGTTGAGTTGCAGGCGGTGATAAACAGTTCGGTGTCAGAGCAAGGCTGTAAGTTATGAGCTTTACGATTTCTGCTCACTTCTAAGGGACAGTAAAATGGGCATCAGCGGCTTTGCTGGGCAGCAGTTTCCCTGGCTTCAAGAGATTCATTCGCTTTCATTTTTTATTTTTATACCTGAAAATTAGTGATCATGCTAACAGGTCCTTGCTAGAGGAAGCTCACACATGCAAAGAAGACAGGCCCTATCTCGTCTTCTGGTCTTAACTTTTCTTTTTAAATGTTCTGGTGTAGTGGCTCATGCATTTTTCTTTAAAACCTTCAGCATCAGACACAGCCAATGGGCCAGGCTCTGGACTCCCAGCCCTGCCTCCATCACAGCAGCACCGCATGAATCTGTCGCATGTACAGCAGTGCTTGGTAGTGTTTTTTTAAGAAGTAAAAGATGAGGGAGAATCTGCTGCTTACAAATTCCAATCATACTTGAACATCACTGGTATAGAAGACAGGACACCCAACCTGGAATTTAGTGTTCTGAACACTAAACAAGCTCTCTTGTGCCAGCTGTGTGACTGTCGAACTGTGAGCCCCTCCACATCTCAATTTCTCTTCTTCAAAGTGAAAAGTTGAAGCTTTATGTTTGGGCCCTTTTCAAGCCACATTAAAGTTGTCTTTTCAAATAGGAATGAAAATTATCCTATGATGAAGACAGCACGACTAGATCTGTTTCACTGAGGAACAAACAAGGGCACACGGGAACTTAGCAATCTGCTTCCGATTACACAGCTTGTAAACAGCAGGACTAGACCTTAAACCTCTGGAACTTGACTCTGACTCAGTGGCTAGCTCCTCACCGTTTGGAAATGTAGCCGCCAAATCAGAGATTCCAAACAGATGACCAGTAGAATCAACAATGCTCACAGGGATGCAGGTGGACCATGTGCTGTGTGGAATGCCCAAATCCCTTACCTTTTAGGCAGAATCAGCGCCACTGGAGTTTCAGCCCTACGTGTCTACATAGTCTCATGATCTACCCCTTACCTACTCACATTGCCTGCCCAGTCCCTAAAGTCACTGTAGTTTATCATCTTGATCTGGGTGATTTCTAAAATCAGATCTCATAATTTACAACTCAAAAAAAATTACAAAAGCCAATTTGCACACATATTTAGACACTCTGCAAAGATAACCACAACTTCAAGCCCTTTACCGAGGGAAGTCACACTGTCAGGGGGACGTGTTGGCATAACATGGCTATATTTTTAAAATGCATAAATATACAGTTGCATATACCAAAGAGCAACATCAGAAGGAGAACCACCCTTGTCCTTGTAGTGGAATCAACTGCGATAGAACCATGGCTGTCAGTAAATTAATAGGTTGAGTTTGGCCTTTGGTTTATTTGACCAACATTTTCCAGAAATTGTTTCAAGTAAAAAGGGGCAGCAATGCTTTTAATGTCAGCACCGTGGGGAGCTCCTCTAAAACGATTCATAAAGGAACAAGTCCATTTAATTTGGGCAACTGGAAGATGGGAGCAGTAAGAAAACAAATCCCAGATGTTTTATTGAAGAGCTGTTGTCAAAAAGCCTCTGGCCTTGAACTCTCTGGGTCACCTTGACTAAGACCTCACTTGCTCATTTGTGCTTACACATCTTATGGAATTACAGGTTCCTGCTGAGCTGCTTGAAAATAGAAAGAAAGCTTACTCTTAAAAACCATGTGGGGAAATCCTGTTGTGTTGGTGTGGAATGAATGCCCAAGAACCCAGTAGGAGGGGAAAGAGCAGCTGCAGGAGATACAGATTAAATTCACTTACCCTGTTAAAAGTGCAGTGGTAATGCCTAGTTTTCCCCAGATGTTTTGGTCATAAAAATGAATGAGCTAAGTTATTTGAGACTAAGCTAATGAAAAGAAATGAAAGCAAACAATTTGAACACCAGGGCATGACCAAAATTAGAGGCATCTGGGTTTGCTGTGAGTGCACATTTGGTAAATGCTGTCTTGGGCCATGTCACCCGGTGAGCAGGTGTCCGGGACCCAGGGTAAGAGCTGTTCCCTGGTACCTACGATTCTGGGATGTCTTCCGGAAAGTCCCTCAGCTTGAAGTCACCTAGCTAACAAACGACATTATCAAAATTTAAACTCAACACTATCTGAATCCAGAACCTACAGTTTTCAACATGTCAATGAAGAATACAGCATCCCTACACAAAAAATAACATGGAGACCTCTGCCCATAACTCAAGCTTTTTCTTCTTTTTCTTTTCTTCTTCCTATTCTTCCTTCTTTTCTAAGAAGCAGGCTCTCCCTGTGTGGCCTAGGCTGGCTGTGAACCCTTGGGCTCAAGAAACCTTCAAGCCTGAGCCCGCTGGTCATCTGGGGTTAGGAGACATGCACTGCCACGTCCAAGGTGACCTAGAGATCTCAAAAGGATGCAGACTCCTGGGCCCTGCTGCTTGGGATAATGTCCCGGTGTGGAGTCTTAGACTGCCACTCAAATAAGCCCTCCCAGTGGTTCTAGTTATAGCTAAACCTTGGAGAATCCCTCTGTGAACCCCTTTGAAGTGTCTCTTATGATTAAGTAGACGTTGGCCAATAATAACTGGAATATTTGGCCTACAAGAACAAAAAAGAGCATTATTAAACAAAGTTGGCCCAACAGGGTTTGGGGCCACAGCAAAGCTCCTTCTTGAATCTGGCTACCTCAGTCTAACTTCAAAGCATGTGTCCCTTCTTCCCTGATGGTCCTAAGAACAGGCAGAGAGAAATCTGGGTGATAAAGGGTGAATCTGAAAGAGGGAAACTGCAGTGAGCACATTCGGATTGAGGCCTTATAAAACTTTGTATTGGAAGAACATAAAATAAATCACATAAGTATTTTTATTTAGAAAACAATGATAAATAATGCTCCTTTCTGCCATGCCAATAATCATTCAGGGGAATCTTAGTCGCTTTGTAAAAACTCAAACCTCTGACTTCCTAGATGAATGATGGTGAAATGTTTCCATGTCCTTGAAATGTTTTCTTACAACCTGGGCCTCTGATAGCTTAATTCGTTATATAATTATGTCTATTATTAAGCATTTCTATGTGCCAGCCACCACAACAGAGAGACAGGAAACAAGGTAGAGTCTGCTCCCGCAAAACCCTGACGGTAGAGGCATCACATACGTGCTCTGGCGGCCCTTCTCGACCAGACCGAGGCACTAACTGTGGTGAGTGAGACGCAAGAAAGAGAAAAGGCGTGAATGCAAGGGTATCAATGTGTGTCACTCGTCACAGATCAAAAGCGGTTTCCTTCTGCAGGAGGCGGGGGGGACAGAGACGGGCTGTCTCAGGGGGTTCTGGGGGCTCACTCAACCTTTTCTCCCAAGGTAGCAGAAAGCGCTCTCACCGAGCATGAAGCAAGAGAAAGGCATGCTCAGTGTTGCTTCGTGCAGAGGTTTGGTCGGAAGGCTCAGGTGCCCTGGGTGATCCTGTTCACTGTGGAACCAGGGTGAAGAGTGGGTTTGCAAGGGGCAAGGCCAGACACAACAGAGCAAAGGTTAAAGGGCCCCTGCCCTGACTCAGGTAATGATGCACGTGGGCCGAACTGAGGGAGCCAGTTTTTTATGGGATCCCTGTGAGACGGACTGGGCATATGCAGAAGGGCACATCTACAGAGCTGCAGTTATTTGACTTACCCAACTCTCTGCCTTTTCTTTACTCCATTCATTACAGTCAAGGTTAAGTAATCACTTGTGCAATTATTTGCTTGATGTCTTCCTCTCGCCTTATAGACTGCAAGATTCTAGAGGGCAGAAAACTGTCTCTTACTAATCGTTTTACCTCTAGTATTTACCAAGCACCTGGCCCATCGCAGACATATAAGGAAAGTTTACAGAACGGTGGAGCATGCAGATCAGGAGCAGAGACAGATGAGGCAGGAGAGAGACAGAGTGGAGACTAGGACTCAGTTGTGGGCTGAAGATTTCAATTTCCTTCAGATAGGCAGTTGAGTATGTGAGAGTGCCATGCAGGGATGCAGGCTGTGGAGTCGGATGCAGCATTCACTGATATGAGAAAAAGAAGTGCGGTCACCAGGGAATGTAGGACTTCAAGAAGAACTTAGGAACACCAGTCATTGGAGCATGGCCAGAGAGCGGACATCCAGAAAAGGAGATGAGAAGAACACATCGCCAGAGAGCAGAGGACGAGTGTGGGTTTGTTTTCCTTTTCTGTCAAAGGCTCCAGAGTGGTGCATGAAGGGCAGACTCAGTTATTAGGCCTGGTGCGGAGGTGGTCCCTGGCAGCAATGGCTAGGGGACTTCTTGAGAAGTAGAGGCCGGGGGTAGGAAGGCAGAGGGTGACTATCACTGGGTTGAAAAGTGAACAGGAAGTGAGAGAAGAAGTTAAAATTACAGGTGGCTCTTCAAGAAGTGTGGATGCGAAATGGCATAGGAAGATACAGCAGTATTTGTGGAAATGTAAAAGCAAGGTCACTACTATGGTAACACGCTTCCTAAGACATATTCCTCTCTCTGTGCTTTCATCATTCTAAATGGGACACATTATATCCTACTGTCAAATGACAACAATCTACTCAGACTTAGGGAAGAGGAGACCACTGCAGGGAGAATCCCCTGCTGATAATATGTCAGCACCTCCGAGGGAAGGTAGAAAAGAACTGCTTTGATTGAAAAACAGTGAAGTAAAGGCGGAAGGAACAGGCTTGGAGGAGTAGGGTACAGGGTGGTGATGGAACAGCCAGACAGGGCACCCTTCCTTGGGATCAAGTGACCCTCAGAAGGGCTATCAAGGGAGACTGCTCTCCTTTCACTGTGGATCAAAGCTTCCAGTGTTTGCACAAGCACAAGGCAGCATTCAGAGGGTGAGGGTAAGAGAAAAACCAAGACTCCTTTTGGTCAAGTCATGGCATCAGGCATTTTACCCAGATGGGCCAGAGGGAGGATAGCTCAGCTCACCCTGCATGAGAGGAATAGGGGAGTCTGATCTTGTCACAGGTAAGAAGGCAGACGTCAGGTCACCTGGTGGTGGGACTGGTTCTTTATGGTAAGCCACTCCCCAAAGGCAAAACTGAAACAACTAGGGAAAAGTCCTGACCTTAGCTGTTTTCCAGCAGTCCTGAGCTCAGGCAAAGTTCAACATTCCAACAACCCGAATCCCCTACAGAAAGCAAGAAGCAAACAGAAACAACTTTTTCTCCCATACAAACGATTATCTGAGAGCAGCTCGTGAAGAGTGAGCCCAGAGGCAGAGAGACAGGACAGGGGACAGCATATCAGGGTGGTAAGGCGAGAACCTCAGGGGATATGAAGCCTCGGTCTGCTGAGTTGTGACCTCACTCTAACGCCGAGCTCGTGCGGGGCAGGCTGGCAGCATCAGGACGACTTCCTCCTGGGTCACACGGGATCATAACCCCATTTCACAGAAGCGGAGGCCCGAGCTCATGGATAAGTGAGCGGCAGAGACGCAGTGGGCTCTCCCGAGCAGACTCCGGAACACGGGCACTTTTTTCAAGGCCCCACTGCTCGCTGGCACCTTGGCCACTCCCTCCCCAGGACCATGCTTTGTATGCCCACGAACTGAAGTGCCAGGCGATGCCGGGCGTAATGGAGGGCTCAGCACGAAGCTCCTGCTCCTGCTAAAGCTGCTTATCACTGAGACACTCACGGCGGTCTCTGCAGAACACTCCACATCGTGCGGTGCAGTGCGAACTCTGCACACAGAGGCCTGGAGCCGAGGCGTGAGGGCAGCGGTGGCAGGCAGCGTTTCCACACTCTGGATTTTCAGCCAGAGGACCAACAGCAGCTACTCGCCTGAACGCCGTTTCCAGTTTTAAACACTCGGCAGAGCCAACCTGCATCCATCCTCCGTCTCCCTCACATCGGCCTTGACTACGCAAATCTGGGCCAACACCACTAACAAAGGCGATCGATGACGACCCGGCTATTTGGCCGGCAGCCCTCTTATTAAGGAGAAGCTGCTCTGGATGAAGCTCTACGAAGGGGCCGCCTGGTGGGGTGGTGCCCCCATGACACCCTGCCACGGGGTTGCTAATCATTAACGGAGACCTCGAGCGGGGTGATCAATTCCAGAGCTCATTTGTCCTCACACAGCCACATGGCCCAGGGGAAGGAACAGCTTGTTTTCCTAAGAAGATTAAAGATACACAAAATGCGCATGCATACAGAGAGCAAAATGAGCCCCACGTTAGGCGCTGCTTCGGAAAGTCCCTGAAACTCATTTCTTAGGCCAGTGTTGCAGGCCTTAGTTACTGCGAGGAGCCCTTCTCTTTAAGGAAAAGTATGACTATGACTTCTGCCTTCCTAGTTTTCTCCAGGCAGGGATACATCCTTCCTGTTCAGGCTGAGAATAGCTGGAGGGCACACTCTACAACATGGCTTCTTAGTGTGGGTCCTGCCCACGTCACCAGCTCCTCTACCTCTCCCTGCAACAGGGCTTGCAAGACGGCTTTGTAGTTTGTTACAGGAGCCATGCTCTCTCTTGAAATAGGGCCTGCACAGCTGAGGCTGGATCGGTGTATCTGTGGGTTCCACACGGGTAGATCTAACTGTGGATCAAAACTGTAGATAGGCTTATATCTGTACCAAATGTACACGACTTGACTTTCTTCTTGTCATTATTCCTTAGCCAAAACAGCACACAGGGTGTTCGTATCACAGAAGGTATTGTAAGTAATCCAGGGTTGACCCACACTACACAGAAGGACATGTGTAGACTGTACGGAACTACCGCACCATGTGTACAGGACACGAGTGTCCATGATCTGTGGCATTTGCAGGGTCCTGGAACCAGCACCCTTACTGGCAGGGTTAACTTCTTTTCCTGATCAAACCAGTTTAAGATCATTTGCTGTGGGTAAGAGTCCTCATTATCCACATTTGAGTAACTTTACCCATTATGCCAAGGTGGCCCTTAAATTTCAGGAACATTCCCTATATCTGCAATAGTTTGTTTAGCATCTGTCTTCTCTACCAGACTCTAAGCTCCCAGAAGCAGGGACCACTGTGCCTTTTTTATTCACTTCTCTATCCACAGAATTCAGTTCAGTGCCTAGCACTCAGTACATCCTTAACTGGAAGAAAGAACAGATGGACGGATGTGTGAAAGAGGGAACGAAGACACAAGCCAGCAAATGAATGCATACATGCATGAAAAACTCAAAGAATAAAAACACCAGGACACAGAAAATTATCCACTTTCTTACTCTCTAGTCTTCCCGTCTCCTTACTCCTTTAGCCTGTCACAGCGTGTGTTTCTTAATGTCAGCTCAGAAGCCTGTGTCTCTGCCACTTTACACTTGATTTGTGCCCCAACTAGGGACTTGGCTTCTCTGTAGCCTCATTAAGTGACAGTTGTATCCCGTCCTGTTCACACTGAGATCACAAGATCTGCCTCCCCCCAGCCAGTGTTGACAAGGAGTGGTGTCCACACAGTAAGTTTCATAATTTTCCTATAGAGGAGTTAAAATGTCACCATAGGATATTAACCTTCTAGCAAATCATTCCATTGTAATTAATCATAGCAGCAGAGAGGAACAGAAATATAAACCGTGTGCTTACATTCACCCTTAAAATGCAGGGAGAAGCAAGAAAACCACTGGACTTCTCTGTGCACTTTTATGTACACGCAGGGAGCACGCCGCTGTTGCCTGAACTCAATCTTTTGTATGGTAATAATAAAGGGGGCAGGGGAAGGGGGTCAAAATAAATTAAGATGCGCTATGTACACGTACCACGTCCCCTCAGTGGAGGAAATCATCACGTACTGCAAAGGTGTTAATAAAAGTGAAAATTAAAAATAAAAAGGCCTTTGCAAAGGAAGGGGCCTCAGAAGAGATCTGAAGGCCAATGCTCTCCTTACTTCCACCCCTGGGAAAGGGCCCAAGGCTACACCAGCCTGTGTGGGCCACAGGAAGTCAAAGTCAGGCTGGCCCGAAGGGGAGTACAGGACCCAGGCTCAGCAGCGAGCCCAGTGGCCAAGCCACAAAGGCGAGGTCAGCCGAGGGCCAGCAGTCCTTCAGCCAAGCAGGCCCCTGCCATCCACCCGGGCAGGCAGGATGCAGGACAGTACCTTCGGCAGGGAGTACTTGGGCAGCTTTATCTGAGCAAAGGCCTCTCTTCGGTAGGACACATAGTAGCTGGCTCTTCCTCCTGTTGTTACCTGGATGGCGGGGAAACAGAGCACTTAGTTAGACAGGACCACAGAGCAGGGACAGGCGGTGATGTCCCCCTCTCCACCAACACCCAGGATGGGTCTGCGGTTACCTTGTAGACAGTGACCCCTTGCTGGCTTTGAGCCTTCGATCCTGCAGAGCCCTGAGCTGCTGCTCCGCTTGCGGGGCGGCTGTGACAGCTTTCCCACGAGCGGCCGCTCTCACTCTGGGTGGGAGTGAGAGCTGGCTCTGCACTGGGTCACTGCCCTGCCTGCCTGCTCACCCAATGGCCAGCAGAGTGCCTGTGGGCTGGGTCTATTTGTGTATTTTTCATATTTATTAATCCACTGCAACCATGATACAATCCTCCAAAGTATTTTTTCTGCATCTAAGTAATTACTATTGCTCAAAACTCATTATTTTGAAATTTAACTTCACTCCCCAACTGAGCACATTTTTCTCCTCATATTTATAAATCTATGTATTGAGCAGATACTTATTGATCCTTCCCAGGTACACCGTGCTTAAAGCAGTCAAACACTAGAGAAAAAGATTTGAAATTCACAGGTCCTGGGTTTGAAGCACAGCTCCACCATCCTCTGGGTGGGGATGACAGGCCTGGTGTGGCAGGGACAGACTCTTTGTCTCCCTTAGGAAGCAGTGCAGCATTCGCCAGATGACCTGGGAACTACTCCAAGGAAAGGTCCCCCAGCCTGGGCTTACTGCCAAGGGCTCCAGAGTGGCACAGCTCTGCAGAGGGCTGCTCTCAGCCCAATCATCAAGGGAAACTCACAGCAGAAGGTACTGTGGCCTGCTCAGAGAGAACAGCAGCCAACCCGCCACGCCGAGGAGGCAATCACTCCAGATATGCGCCCGTCCTCACCGAGGCCCAAGCCCACGCTGACACCTGGCGAGGCGTCCACTCCAGTCCTAGACTGGCTCCTGTCCACAGCAATTGCTGGTGGCACAACGGGCGTGACTTCTCTCCCAAAAGCCACCTGTGGCTCCTCACTCCAGGAGAAGCTGCTCCCAGGCTTGCCTCAGCTCCACACAGGTTGGAGGCCCAGAGAGCAGGTACCCCAGCTGCCAGGTGTGGCACAAACACACAGGCATAGAACGTGACCCTTGGAAGAGTAGAGATTAGTTTTTCCCTGATGTTCAGCAGCATCCTAGGCCTCTGTTTTCTAATTAGAGCCATGCTTGTATTGTGATGTTGATTATTTCTGTTTGGGTAAGACCCTGCTATGAATCTTGATTGCTGTGTTGGCTTAGAGATGGGTATTGGTGTATTAAGATCCATGAGGTGCTACGAAGTCTTCTTTTTCTTTCTTCTCAAAATAAGACTCAAGTTTCAGCCTTAGATTAAAACAGGATCTTTGGATCTGGACACGCAGTCACCCTGAATCATGGCACGATCCTGTTTATTTATTTGTTTGATTTGGTTTTATTTTAAATTATAAAACAAACACATCTAAACACACCTGCCAGTCCAAGAAGTAGATCAATAGTTTTTGAGTTTAATAAACATCAGAATCACTTGGAAAGCTTATTTAAACTCAGACTGCTGGGTCCCAGCTCTCAGTCAGCAGAGCTGGGCTGGAGTTTAATTTTCTCTTCTAAAAAATGACCCGGTGATGCTGCTGCTGCTCTGGGGGCCACATCTGGAACACCAGGCTGGGCCTCGAGCAGCACGACATACACCTCCGTGCTCCTCGCCGTCCTGATCCCTGCCTCCTCCCGAGACATACCCACTTCTCTGAGATGCAGTGATGAGAAAGCTTTGAAAACATTGAGGTGAAATCCACATAACTAATCTCACCGCTAAAAATGTACAATTCGACAGCACTTAGCAACTCTACAGTGTTGCCCAATCACCCTATTTTGTTCTAAAATGCTTTTATCACCGCCAAGGAAGATAAAATCCCCCAGTACAGTTTTTGAGGCCCCAGAACATGCCCTCTGGTCAGCTATCATATGATTAAAATCCGGCTCTCCACGGAACACCCTGAGACCAAACATGTACTTTTCACAGGCCATCCTGAATCCTGGTCAGTTACAAGCTACATTCAAAGAGAACAGGACTGCAGACCCAGGCCTCTTATAGCACTAGCAGGGCCACCAGGGCTTCTAGTGCTCTGAGGGCTGACAGAGAACACAGTGCTGTGTTTTTTGCACGGCCTGCTGCACCACCTTGGAAATCAGCCCAGCCATGGCTGCTGCGGCCCTGAACACACACGGATTCTCTCACATACACCCTGCAACAGCCACGGTGCAGTAGTGAATTCAGCAATCCTGAGGGAGGACCTGAAATACAAAGCAGCTATGTGAAGAACCGTGAGCCAAGAAGTTCTCCAAGAACAATCTGAGTCTCCCAAAGTCACCACAGTCACTCCTGCCACCTCTCTTTGTCCTGTGTCCCTCTGTACCTGCTGAAGTCCAGCTGACTGTAGGTCTCAGTGAAGCTCAGGAGTACACAGAAGGGTATTCCGATGCCACCAATTCAGCTAATTTAATTTCTTCCACCAATCAACTCCTGAACTCTCTCTTTTTTAAAACTGAGACAGGGTGTTGCTATGTAGCCCAGCTGGCCTTGAACTCGCAGTCTTCCTGCCTCAGGCTGCAAAGTGCTGGGATTGCAGGTGGGAGTCACCATGCCCGGCTCACACTTACCCTTGTGGCATAGTCTGCATAACCCTGTAACTATTCCTCTACGCCTATTACAAAGCTGTGACCACTTTAATTACTAGACAACACCGGTTCTATAGTCTGAATGTTTGTCTCCTCTGAAATTTATGCTGAAATGTAATTTTAAATGCAATCATATTAAAAGAAACCTCCCTTTAAGAAATAATGAGGGGCCGGGATGTAGCTCAGTAGTTCCATCACCTGCCTCTCAAGCACAAGAACCCAAGTTCAATTCCTGGTATCAAAAGAAAAAGAAGAAGAAGTAATGAGTCCATGAAGGTTTCTCCCTTGTGAAGGGACCAGCACCTTATGATACCTACAGAAGTTGCATAAGCCCTGTTTTGTCCTCTGTGCCTTCTGCCACATGAGGCACCATCTTGTGAGCAAAGACAGGGCTCTCCCAGCCACCGAACCTTGCTGTGCTTTGATCTTGGATTTCTCCATCTGTGTGGGAACTGAGAAATAAATTTCTGTTGTTTATAAGGTACTCAGTCTAAAGTATTTTGTTATAGCAGTAGAAATAGCCTTAGATAGAAATTGGTGCTGAGAGGTGAGATGTTTGACTTTTGGTACCAAGTACCAGAACACATGGCTTTGGAACTATCTACAGTAATGGATAAAGGCTAGAACAGATTTGGAAGGAAAATGCTAGCAAAAGCCTGTATGACCATGAACAGAATAATACAGGTGATTCAGGGGAAAGTTCTCAAGAAGAGGGGAGCCAGAGAGAAAGCTTTGACCCGCTCATGACCTAAGTGGCTGAGATCAGAATGCTGGCAGAAATACAGACTAATTAGTGCTAATTAGGTCTTAGACAGAAGTGAAGAACAAAGTATTGGAAACCCTTGCTATAAAGTGGCAAAGAATGGGGCTGAATTTTTGTGTCCTGATGCTTCATGGAAAGCAAAACTTGCATGCAAAGAACCAGAATATTTAGCAGAAGACACACCTAAAGTGTGCTGACTGCTGACAGTAAAATGTGAAGTGAGATAAACAGAACGTAGGTGGCCTATCATCAAAAGGGAAGCAGAGCTTGAAGACTTGGAAAATTCTCAGCTTGGCCATTGCAAAATAAAAAGGGATACTTGGGAGAGGACATCAAGGGGGAGGCCAGGGAAACATTTTACAAGGAGATTTGCATGAACGAAGGAAGCCAGATGGTATCAGTCAGGGCAATGGAAGAAGGGCGGCAATCTCTGCAGCTCCACTCCCATCCGTGCCCAGAGTGCCAGGGCCAAGAGACAGAGAGGTTTCCAGGGAGGACGCGAGACTGCAGGGCCGGCCAGCACTGCCCTAAGTCTCTGCTCCCAGAACTCCGGTCAGCACTCCCCGCCATGGCTCAGGCGGAGCCTGTGGGGCACACCTTGACAGCGTGCATGTGGCACAGGGAGCTCAGGCTGTGGAGGCAAGGACACGTCCACCCAGACTTCAGAGGCTGCTCCTGAGAGCCCCGGGCCAGGTATGGGCTGTGGCAGTCCACCAGGGCAATGCCCAGCAGAGCTGTAGGGTTGGAGCTACTCGCAAGATCCCAGAACTGCAGAGCCACCAATGGGGAACTGTGGGCACTGGATCCCACCCATGAGACGTGGGAAAGCCATGACAGTAAGGCAAGCTGGGGACTCAACTCTGGCGCTGATGCACATGGGAGGTGGGACATGGCAGGGAAGGTGATCTTGGTGCTCCAAAGTTTATGTTGTTCACCTTGCTGGCTTTCGGGCGACCTTGGGATCTGTTATTGTGCTCTTGCATCCCACCCTTTTCAAACGGGAATGTCTCTCCTATGGCTATCCTATCCTCCCAGCTCAGACTTGCTTCCTCCTTTGATTTCACAAGCTCACAAGCTGGAGAGCACTTTGCCTGAGGGTGAATCTCCCTCCTATCCATTCCTGTTACCCACGCTTGAGCAGGGACGGACGGCTGTGCCTCCCTCAGAGTCCAGTACAGCACAAGGGTCAGTATTTACTGCTAACTAGTAATCGGCTGTTCAGATTCACCAGCTTAACCTGAGAGGCCCAGAGCTCGGCTGGTCTCCTCCACTGTTTCAGGGCTAATCCGAGGCCGTGAAGAAGCCGGCACCCTCTGTCAGGAGCAGCGTAGGGTGAAGCCACGCTGATGTATGTGCCGCCTTTCCACAGCTATTTGTGTGGCTCTCTGGCAACCACACAAGGAAGGAATAAAGTTTGGAGACTATTAATCTATTTTGATGAACTTTTCTCTTCCTTACAAGCAAATGTGCCGGCACTGTAAATCCCAGAGAGTATTACCACTTTTCCTTTCAGTGACACCTTTTATTTTGCATTTGATGAATGTCATCTGATTATTT